TCGACGTTCGGCGACGACCCCGTAGGCGAGCGGCGAGGAGCCGAAGGGAGAAGAGAGGGTAAGAGGGATAAACGTATCAGAAAACTCGACGGGGCAGAGCGGCGGTCGGCACGAAGGCACAAGACCGACGAAAGCTAGTCTTCACGCAACCAGCGACAGACTAGTCCCAATGACCAAGTTATACATTAGCAATCGGAGGGAGATACAACGCTATGGTCACTCACCTAGTCCCAATGACCAAGAGGTCGAGATGGGGACTAGGGAGTGCCTAAGGGGGTCCTTATATACTAGAAGGGCTGCTTAGCAACCAAAGACAAGGCGCGAGAGCGAGGCAGTGAAGATGACAAAGGGAGAACAAAGGGCGGGAAGGAAAAGGCAAAGGCATGGTGATCACGGGAACGTAGCATGCGGGTGTGGGAACGTATCTGCAGTGTCCAAACTGGGATGGGCTAAGAAAGGAAATGGTCCGAAAATGGAAGGTGGGCGTCAAGGGGAGGGGAATGGGCGGCAAAAAGGGGCGTCTGTCCAACGTCCGTGACATCCGCAATGCAGAGTGTTTGAGAATATAGTCATGGAATTGTGTTTTTCAGTCAGCTTAGCCTAGACGTTTGCAACGCATCATGCACCCTGGTATATACGAGACGGGAACGTGTCTCATACTGTACTACGTAGGATCATCCAGTGCGGCCAATTGCGATACCGACTGGACGTCATTGAACAGTTAAACATTCATGCAGGGTCTGCGTATCACTTTGCCACAGCAAAGTCCGTCTATACCCTTGCCAAGCGCCAAGCGAGGAAACGCAGACCGCAGCCAGTCCCTTGTGCTTCCTGAGGTCCATATGAATGACTTGGATTACGGACCTGCATTTGGGAGTTCTGATGAATATACCGGATTCACCAAACCCTCCTCATGCTTAGGCTCCACGACAACAGTCTGCTCCCATTACACTAAGACACATGCCGCGTTCGGGAACGACCCTTCCACAAGCTTCGAAATTTGCTTTGCCACGTCCTCCATGGCAGTCTGGACCATAATTTCGGCATGATAGGTCTCCGCACGCCGCCGCGAGGCTGGCTCGCAGACCTCCCTGCCGCACGGGACCCCTTTGCCATTTCCATCTCCATTCCGGGGAGACGGAGCACACGAAGCCGCGGGCACTTGCGAGCGAAGTGCGCAATTCCTTCCTGCGGGATTCCACAGGGGCGGGGATCGTACATCCTGAGGCCGTAGCTGTACCTCCACACGTCCATATGAAGCTCCTCGAGGTTGCACCACGCGTCCGCCATCAACGCTCCGTCAGATGCTGTTGCTACCACACCGAAGTAGCTCGGGAGTCGGATTGCAATGTAGCGAAGCGCGCGGAGGGCCAGCAAGGGACGGATGGTGTCGATAAGACGCCCGTTGAACAGGGCCACCACTACGGGAGTGTGCGTCGAGTTTACAGAAAGACTCGTAATAGACGCGTGCCAAGTGGAAATTGCCGAAAAACACTGGATCGCACCGGTGACGAGCTCGGTAGCTCACACGTCCGCTTCGCCTTGTGCGCCCTCCCAGCCCGTCATGGAAAGCATCTGCATCGAGGGGAGACACATTGTGTCAAGGAGAATGCACATATCTTTCCAGTGCCCCGCTATGATCAATGTGACGAGGGAGGGCAGTGTCAGGTGGAGAGGGTGCAAACCAGAGGATAATGAGATGGACAGGTGCTCAAGGGCATGAAGATCATCCAGCAGGCGGAGGTCATCGACATTGACACGAGGTGTGACTTGAAGATGGCGGAGGTAGGAGCAGTGATTCCTCAAAAGCGACGGGCCAAGGGTAGAAGGTGGTAATGCGAGACAGAGTGTCGTAATCCCCACTATGGCGCCCGGGACTGTGCAAAACCCACAGGGGAAAACCGAGGAAATAGTGCGGTCCGGCCAAGGAAATGGAGCAGAAAACCCTGGTCGAACACCGGTTTATGGACGAGCAAAAAGCGTGTCAAGATGACGGCTTTCCACGGTCAATCTGGCATGGTCTCAGACAGGAGAAAAACCTCGCTTAGACAGCGGGTCAGAAGGGCGGGATTTACATCTGTAAAACATGAGAATTTGCACGGTTTCCGGGTGCCGAATCCTCGCTTGCGCCAGCTGGATATCAATAGGGAATCAATTATGATGCAGTACAAGAGTGTAGCTAAACACGCTGCAGATTGCAGCGTTACGGTCGCATTACGGCATGCTGAGTACGTAGTACAGGTAGGGATATTGATATAAACTATGCAAGCTCGAGACCCTCTGGTACTCTCAACGACCACGTCCTTTTGACCCTTGCCACTCCTGCAGTACATCCATGCCAACACTAAGGACACATATGGGAGTTTGGGTAGACGGAGTCAGATATTCAGGGAAGAGCAGCAAATACTCACCGGGGAGAATGCAGATATTTGAGAAGAGTGACTTACCTGATTGATATCTTTGCCAGAATGGCCAAACAACATAGCTGGACTTACCTGAGAAACTCACAACTCTGAAGATTGCGACTTACCTTATGCCGACCGTCCATCACTGGGCTCTGCCCGATGACTCTGGTACTGTATGCACACCCCAGGAACGGTGATAAAGGGGGCCAAGAAATGTAGACACGACAGCAGTCATGCACCCAATGCACCCTAAGATAGTTCCATGAAAGTTAGATGTCACAAGCAACAGGAGAATGTCGATGCAGACGAGAGAATGGTCAGAATCAGGGCGACTGGCATTTGGCGCCCATGTTTAGGGCCGGCACATGCAGGATTGTTTGCGGATACCGAGAGCAACCGTGGAATAACCCCGTTCAGCTTGGCGTCTCAGGTGGTAAATCTCTACGGATGTAAAAACACGTTGCCGCCGCGGATAACTGACGGGTGATATTCAACGGTGAGATCCCATTTCCACGGTGCGACCGTTGAACGCACTTTTTGCCTTGTCGAACCGGGGGTTTTCCGGGGGCGCCAGGCCCATAGTGCCCGGGTCCGGCGCGGAATGCTTTCGAGAACACGCGACGCGCCTTCTCATCGGACTCGGGCCAAGAGTAGCTAGGGATTGCGAAGTCGAGCTTGCGTACTGAAGGAGAAATGAGGGCAAAGATGCCTTGAGTAATCTCGCGGGACGAGAAACAGCAGAAGGCCACTGAGGATAGTCCGGGTAAGATTGGAGCGCCGTCGATAGACGATCGCAGCTTTTCCCACAGCTTGGACCACCTCGGACCATCAAAAGCGAAGAGAGTGATCGCACGAACATATGATGCGTATTGTTGGAACCGAGTCCATTGAGGAAGTCGACGAGGATCCCCACCGTGCAGGAAGAACTGAGTTCGGACCGATTAGGAACAAGCCTGACGCGATATGACCAGTAGATCACTGACGTATCTGACATCGTACCCCCTCGACTGTCTCCACTGTGGCTCGTAGGTATGGTCAGGAATATACAAGCCAAATCCGCCATATTGATTCGGCAAGGGGTAACGTCTAGGATTCCCATCACTGAGACCCTGATTATCTAGGCTGCGCTCTCGAGCGGCAATCCCAAGGATGCAAAGGAGGTCTGCGAGAGGCTGGTCGTCAGGCAGGCTACTCCACAGCACTCGCAGAGCTGGGTCAGCGAATGCCCGGCAAGTCCTTGCGGCAAAGACGAGGGATCGACGAGACTCGTAAACATCGCCCGGGAGGTACTGACGCTCCAGGTCATCAGCGTCGAAGTAGGAAAAGATGCGATAGAGGATGTCTGGAGTGTGAGCTAAGG